ATTATCCACACAATTTGAAGTTCAATTTGGGCTGAAGTGCAATATCTAACGGCTCATTTGTTTGAAGTACTCCAGGTTTACTTTCTTACACCTCCATCCAGTAAAATGTATCATATAAAATGCTGCAAGCTCTGATTTTTGACTTTAAGGTAGGTGACATTACCATGATGTACTCAATGATTCTAAGTTCTCTGTGGCCTGTTCTTTTTCATTTATGTTTTATACTTTATGTATCTTTAGTATCTACAATGTTTGATGTAAAGTTAAATTAAATTGTACCATACACCATGCACAGGCAACGTTAAGACTCTGTGCATTTGCTCTTGAGTGCTCTTTTCAGAAATGCATGTGAAGATGTAACAGTTGTCCATAGAAACGCCCTTAGAAAACTTAACCTCTAAAAACCACTAAAAATACAGTACATGTCACTGTGACAATACATTTGTGGCAACCTTGCTTCTCTGCACTTTACAATTGTTGTACAAGACAAAAAAAACAAAAAAAAAACAAAGGCGGGAAAAAGTCCCGGTCCAATACTACAGCAGCTGCAACTTCATCAAGACACAATGAGTGTTGATTTTACCACATGAGATACCCAAATTCAGTAATAGGTGATCAATCACACAAAATAATGACCTCACACATTCTATCTGGCATTCATGCATTGTAGGTTTTTAAAAAAACACATCAGAGGCTTTAACAGATATATTAGGTCTAACTGTAAAATACCGTAATAGCTATGGTAACACATTCTTATTCTGGCTTTCCCCAAGCCAGGGGGGGAAAAAATGAAATTTCACTGAAAAATTAACCGTGTATTACAGCATTCGGCCGTCCTTCACCCAAGTCATATGGAATAGGGCTAGCCTGGAGCTATTGACTATGCGGCATGTTCAGGGCACACATTACATGGCTGGCCCTGCGTACATTTATATCCATGACTGAAGTGTACGTGCCCTGCCGCAGCTATAACCTGCATAATTCATGATGTGTCAGAGTTCTCCACTAGCTGGTGTCTGTCTGTCAGCACTACGTGTCCCCTGTCCTTGCCCATCCATTTCCCCTGACTGGTAATGACAAGCCACCAGTGCACGCACGCACACACACATTAACACACATCCACATACTACAAACGTACACAGAATATTACATGCATGTACACCACAATACAGCGACATACAGCAACCCAAAATGGCAAAGCTGGCTGACAATTCACGAACTGTTAGCCTCTTCCCATACGTAAATGTGTGCGTATATGCTCATAGGTGTGCCTATGTGTCTATCCACACTGCATTGAAGAGCTCCTGTTCGGTGTCTTATGACAAGCCATCAGTCTGCCACTGCTGTAGCAGAAATGGTGGGGTCCCTGGGGAGGCCTCTAAAAGCTCACAGGGTTCTTGGGGGTGGGGAGCCCAGACTTAGTGAAAGCTTTTCCATGTTCATCCACCCAGTTCTGCTTCTCCTCCTCCTGCTGCACAGACTCCTCCAGCCTCATTCTGCATCCAAATGCAGAGTAAGAAACTCACTAACCCCTACCCTCTAACCACCCATCCCTCTCCTTGCATTTCCCATTCCATCGCTGCATCTGTCAGTTTTTCCCAACATCTCTGTATCTTCCTTTCCACTTCACCTCCTCTCACCCCCCTCCCAGTTGTTACCGCTCTTTCCTCTCACTCCTTCAATATTGTATCCGTCACACCCCATACATCTCCATCTCTTTCTCCCCAAACTAATGTTCCCCCTCCTCCTGTTCCCCCTCCCCACCAGTAAAGTAGCATATCCAACAGTACATTAACTTCCATACATCTCTGTGAGCTTCTCCAGTAGACACTTCCCTCACTGGGAGCTCCTGTCACACAGTGAGGAGACAGTAAGAAGGACCCCCTTTCACAGTGAATCACTGGTGAAGTCTCTAAACAGTTCCAGAAGCTTTAGTCCTGTAGCAAGGGGCTCTGGCAGTGGTCCTTGACTATTAAACCACAAGAAAAGAAAAAAAGCACATGAGGATGATAGCTGTCACAAAGCTGACTCGGACAAGATCTAGAGGGAGTCAAAATTGTGGGAGCGGGGAGAGAGATAGACATGCACACTGATGCAGCAGCTGTGGTGACAAACATCTTGTCGCCTGAGGCATGAGGAGTGTGCAAGAGATTTGGCGTGCATGTGAGCGCTTGTTTGTGTTCGCGTCCCCGAACCACGAATTTTAATCATCCTCAATGATGAGCTGAGAGCAGCCGAAAAACAGACTGATTCCTGAGCCACCAATCATTCATCCCCTGATTCCTCTTATAGTGTGATTAAGAAATAGACAACATTATTTATGGAGAAAGATGTTTGCAACCAGTTGTTTTACAGTCACATTTAATGGAGGAAAGAACATCTTAAAGGGTTGGTTCACCAAAATAACAGGAAAGCATATTTTCTCACTTCCGTCCCAGTCCCTCACAGAGGTTTTCACTGGAACTACTTTCAACAAACGGAAAGGATCCCTATAAAAACTATTTTGGATTATCAAGAGTAACAGACTGTGATTCTGGAAAGATACATTCATGTTGATTTTTTTAATCCTTCGACACCATTACCCTTTTGGGTGTCTGCCTAGCCTAAATCAAATTAATTGGTTACTATGCCCTTGAAATCATTTTGGATATAGGGTTTTCCAGGGTTTGTTATACTGTGGGACAGCCATACTGCTTTGAGGTAGGAAATCACCATAACTTTTTAAATTTCACTTGTATGATGTGCATTGCATTGTGACTTACCAAAATAATAGAAAAGACAATAGTCTCATCTATGGATACATATGATATGAGTGGTGCAAGCTTAAATCAACTTTTTGCAATGCTGTGAGCACCATAAACCAAATTCAATTCACCTGCAATAAATTGGGGTGAAGGTGGAAATCCCAAAGCAGATATTTTAAAAACCTAGAAAAATAAAACCAGAAGTATTTGTATGGCTAGATACCATTACAATTTAATTTTTTAATAAGTTTTGTGGGGATATAAAATAGATAAAAAACAAACGAGGAAAGGCTTTTTGGATTTGGTAGCAATGTAACACAAAGCAGGTGCTGCTGATGCATAGGTAAGCAATCAATTTTGTGTCCACAAAAAAGGGAATGAATTCCCCCCCAAAAAGTCAAGGCACTTTCATTAAGGTACAAAAAAGGTCAAGAAAATCAATATATGTTAGTTCATTTCTACTATCTGTGACATAGTGTTAATTCATTGAGTATTGAGTACTGGTGTAATGAGAAAGCCCAATGTGAATTCTCACGCATATGATTGAAGCTTGTGCTTAAGTTACTTGTCTCTGTGTGTGATTGTTTGACCCTGGGGAAGACCAGTGTGTGGTTGATCATCTTGGTCTTTTAATCATGTAGCCACTTTAACAAAGCTTTGCTTTGACTTTTTATGGAATTTACTTCCTTTTTTGTGGACAGAGATCTCCATTGTTTCAAACCTAACCTTGATATGATTGAGCCGATGAAAATAGAAGTGTGTGTGTGTGTGTGGGGGGGGGACTAAGGCTACAACAAAGAAATGTTTCCTACACAACCTTACAATTATTTTTAGATCTCTACTTTCGGGATACTGAGATGATGAATAGAATCACAAAACTGCTGCACAATTTTAAGATTTCTCCTATGGACTATTCTGCAACTGTTTTTTGGAGGCGCAGGGCACACAGCAAAGAGACAAAACAGACAAGAGAAAGGCAGGGATTTAAAACACTATAGAAGGTAATGAAATGTGTGATTGCCTGGGCCGTGCCATTACTAAGGGTCGAGGTCCTCAGAACCTTCTCTGCTGCAAAATGTACAGGAGGATAAGTCATTATGGTTAGGTGTGTTAACACATTGTCAGTAGCTCTAAGACACACACACACACACTCCCCCTTCCTCAGCATCTCAGACCAGCACCATGAGGAAATTAATTTACTTTAAGATGTGCAGTAAAAAGGATGCCTCGTAAAAAAAAGGTCCTTTATGTGCAATCAATACCTGAACCAATGAGCAAGCACAGAGGTTCAGTTTGCTTCACTCAAACACGAGCGCACACACTGTCATGACTTGACTTTCTATTAGCTCGACCGCATGTCTCCTCAAGGACACTCCACAAAAGCTTGAAATTGGTTATGAAAAAGGTGTTGCTGCTATAGATTAGACATACGGTGCACGAGCACAACCATCAGGATTATAGTCTTTCTTGGTTACCTGAAATCACCAGCACTGCAGGGGAAAACACACTGAATAGGATTCAAAGCTCCGAGTCTTATCACAATGTTGTGTTTGACATATTTCCATGCATGAGAGCAAGTAGTGATATGGTCTTTGCTACAGTATAAACACTGGCTGACTTAATACTCCGTTAAGCTATCATGCCCTATCGGATATTGTACATCAGGAGTTTGTGCAGTTGTAATATAGATGTGGCATGAGGAGGAATGCCACACTGATTAATATGGGCTGTGATATGGGGTAATTCCCATACTGCTGCAACTGCAGTTCAAATCCTCCATCAGACCATTGGAAGAGGTACAAGCTCATTATTCACCATGGAGCACAGACCCACACAGTCAGACAGATGCACTCACGGACACACACACAGCCACAAACACTTTCAAACACACACACAGACACAGTAAATAAAGCACAGTGTGAGCAGTCGAAGCATTTACAGATCAGCTGTTTTGTAGGGGTCAGATCGAAGACAGCTCCACAAAGTAAGAATTATCACTGCTTTTTTAAACAAGAGCCCAAATATGCCAAGATAACTAAAACAACAGCTTTGATCTCAACTTTCTGCGATAATCTCCCCTCCTATTTCAGTTTGTCCCTTTTCTTGTTAGATCTGAAGAAAGTGAAACACCCTCCGCACTTTACGTCACCTCTTCCTCCTGTTTCTCGTCCCTCCTCGCACATTCAGTCAAAAGTCTCCCTTGAGCTATTTTTGAGGAGAGAAACGTAGGAGTAGAACTAAAATGAGCTCTCTTACCTGTCTCGCATCTCTTCCCAGTAAATCCTTGCTGGCAAACACAGTTGTTAGGTGAGACGCAGGTTCCCCCATTCTGGCACAATCCGTCACACATAGCTAGAGGTAGACCAGAGAGAGAGAAGAGCCATTACTCAGTAAGATTAACGAGCATTAACTATGTAATTAGACCAGCAGCAGCATATGTATTTGCATACAGAATAAGAGCTAATTTGGTGATGTGATTCATTACAGGCTCTCACGATATTATTTTGCGTGATTAATGCATCTTGCCAAGGTTAATTCAAAAAAATTCATTATCCATGGATAGGCTGGTGGTTAATGTGTTCCCAAAACACAGAGAAGCCACTGAAGTTGACAGAATGCAATTGAAATGAATGAAATATATACACAAACCGAACCCCTTATCTATTAAAAGGAATACCACAAGGTGTTAAAATTTAAAATTAAATTTAAAATTATACTCCAACAAATTAATATTGCACTTCATTTTCATTTGATTTTAAAGGTTAAGTGTGTAAGATTTAGTGCCATCTAGCGGTGAGGTTGTGAATTCAAGAGAGCGTAGGATAGCTACAGTGGCTGACACAGGCAAAAGGTGTCAGCTGAGAGTAGCCAGTCAAGAAATGAGGTTTCTTTAGATAGATATGTTAAGAAATTATATTTACTTAATTATTCAGTAAAACCAAACGTTACTTCAATTTGGCCACTGACAGATAACATGGAAAATGTAAGCCAAGAGTGTAACATTGTTACTGCACCACAGTCCATTATAAACCACATAATAGATGAATAGATGGCGATGTTCCTGTAAGGGGGACCTGCAGTTATGTAGATAGAAATGGCTTATTCTATGTAAGGTCTTTATACACCACTGAAAACATAGTTATGAATATCATATTGCATTTCCGGCAATAGAACATCAGATTACACATTGGACCTTTAAATGAATGGTCAAAATTCTGTTACTGGTATTGACTAGTTTGGGTCAAGCTCCAAAAATGCTGGTTGCCACATTTGCTACAATGCAACCAAAACCTTCTGCCATCAAACCTTCCCCCTGCCCTTTCAAGCCCAAGCAAGGATATATTGTATTTTTAAGGATATATTGTATGTCCATTTTTGTTCGCAATTTCAAGCAAAAATTTCAATTCCCTAACAGCTTCATATTTGTGAGGATTTGCTTCTCAAGGGCACCTTCAGCTGTGGTCAACTCGACCCTCTAGTTTCAAAGTCAAGTCCCCACTGACTGAGCTAATGCCGCCCCCCTGTGATTTGTGAATATGCCTGAACAATGGCTCATTAGAAAGACATTTAATTGGGACATTTTACATGAACATGCCTGGCTTAGTGAGGCGAATTTTGTTTTTTTAATGAATTATCTTCTTTTTTTTTAAAGCAGATTACAGTGTGATATTCATGATGATCTGCGCAAACTGCTCGTTTTGTATTAGGGAATGCGGTCTTGTTGATGTGTGGTGGTGGTACGATGATAAACATGTTGTCTCATCAAAAACAACTACAGTGTGCAGGCTTATGTTAAGCAGAATTGAACTAAAAGTCAAAGATATCTGTGTGTGTACAGTTACATACAGGTACATTACCATAGAAACAGACATGTTTAACGGTCTCCCTGAACAGAATAAACTGCTTGTTCCTGTATGAGATTGAAGATGAAATGCATTTCATATTGTATTGCTTAAGGATTAGGTTAGGACTACACTTTTTTGTAAAATGTAATTTATTTCTCATGGATGATTCTAAATAACTTGAGCTGTGTTTTTAGAGGGAAACCTTTTTTTGCAAGAGATTTAATTTGTAAAATCCTGGGAGAAAAAGTTATTTGTTTGTAATGCAAGAAAATTGATAGTTCATGTCTGACAGATGTTTAACCACTGCAACAATATTTTGGTGTCTCATAAGTCTACTTGGGCTGGGTACTTGTTATGTGCTGGCACAATGAATACCATAACGAACATGGTGGTGCCTACCTTTGCATACTGTCCCATTGCCAGTGTAGCCGGGCTTACAGGAGCAGCTGTGGCCTCCAACCATGTTAAAGCACAGGGCATTCTCATCGCAGTTGTGGAGCCCGCTGAGGCACTCATCGTGCTCTAAAGACAAAAAAACACAACAGACATCAATCTCAACAAGCCCTTTAGTCATATCAGTTGTTAAAAAACAAGTGGGAAAACTGCAGCAGCAACAGGTCAGGCAATGTCATAATATCCATTAAGCGAAAGAAAATGACTGGATAGTTACACAGCCATGAGTCTAGTAGTAAGACATCAATGACAAACAGAGGAGGACAAGACATTTCTCTATTTTCCATCATGATCTGTCATAACAAATTTTTCAGATGTTTTGCTATAATTTATTGTTGTTTCTTGGTGCAATATTAAGGATAGAACAATCTCAATGATGAGTCTGAGTTTTATAACTACTGAAAATAAACTAACTTCATATCTACATTAATGATGTGCTGTCTTGTGTTGTTCTTTGCTTTTATGAGCCACTGGCTTTTAGTTTGATTGTTGTAAATTAGCACAGTTGGCCAAAAGAATCAGGACTCTCAAGCTCTCATTGCTGCTGCTGTGGAGTTAGCTTTGGTTTGTTATGAATATCCCTCTGACAAGCTTGACTAATGGCTACAGCCCTTGACAACATACTGTATCCAACTGGCCAACAAATCTCTTCCCCTCTGTCTGGAGAGGTTGAGGTGGCAAAATAAAATGTAATAAAGGCCTGAAGAATCAAACAAATCAAACAATACAAGTACTGTGATTATACCACATGGAAAAATGACACAAAGTCAGTGCTGAGTAATGCAGAAAACAAAAAATAGGAGGAAATGTGTGATTAGGTCTTATCTACAGTAAAATCTATTTTGATTTGAATTAAATATATTTTTTTCAGTGTAAACATGTTTTAAAAAAAATCACAATATGCTAATACTATTTACTACAACCCCCTGCAGACACATTAAAAGATTATAAACAAGGTGTGGAATTACTAATGAATTAATAGCCCAATATTGTTTAAATCATACAATCCATGTTGATTTTTCTCCACAAAGTAATGTGTTGTCTCTAACACACAAACTGAACTAAAATTGTTCAGTGTCTTTATTTTGTTTATTTTGTTAAGTAACCTAAAGCTGGGTTTAAAATGTAACACAAATAATGGAAAGTAGATAATTAAGGCTACAGGTTTCTAATGGTGAATACAACTTAATTTTTAAAGTATTCTTGTTACCTTTGTAAGACAAGGATTTTCACGCTTAAAGAGGTGGTATTATGCGTTTTGCCCTTTCCCCTCTACTTTATTGAGTTATATACCTTTTTTGTGCATGTAATAGGTTTGCAAAATGAAAAAGCCCAAAGTCCACCCCAAAGGGAGTTCCCATCTCCCACAGAAAAGACTGGTCTGAACTGCCTGAAAACAGCTCGTTTGTAGTCCAGCCATTTCCCTTTCATCCCTGTGACATTACAGGGATGAAAGCAAAATGCGCGTCCTAATGTTCGCCAAGTGGCTAGTCCAACAGGCCCTTAAAAACAGTGTTTTTCCCTCTCCCTTCCAAACACCAGCTACCCTCCAGGCAGTCAATGGACATAAAGTTGTAACCATAATAACTTTATGGATGACAGATACATTTGTTACAGATTAATAACTCACCACTCTCAAACTCTTGCTCCAGTCCATGTTGCTTAGCTGGTAAGGGGAACATGTATAGCTGAACCGAAGCCGTGTTTACTGGCTTCTCACTGACCTGCCCTTCTCTGCTTCTGATTGGCTAATAGTCCTTAACTAGGAACTGCGCGATGTATCACTCCATTGCAGCCCAAGCAACTTTGTTTGGTTCCCATTTACAGAGCCAGCGCTGTGTACAAACACCGGATTTTCTTCACTGCACATACAGAACGGACAGCTAGCAGATCGTGAGGGGATATTTGCTGAATTTAACAAAAAGACGAGCACTGGATTATAATCGCATACCCCACCTTTAAAGAACAGTAGATCAGTTAAGAACTCTCCCCTGCCGTATGAACGGCCACTTTAATGCAGGCCCTTCATCTGCCCATGGACACAAAGGCAGATCTTTATCCCTCTGAGACACACTAAAGAAGAATACTCCTCTATCGTATTTTGGAGATTCACATAAATATTGCTTTCTGATAAGTACTTGCTTACAGAGTACTACATCAGCTGAAGTGCAGAAAACTTTCTGGACTTGTTTTAACCTTCTGAGATTTTCTCTTCTTATTGAACAACTCTGTATCCCGTAATGACCCAAAAGGATGCAAAACAAAAAAAAAACATCATGAAAAGTCAGTCTTTTGCCAAGAGAGCTCTCCCTCTAACTTCAGTGTTTGTAAAACATTTATTAATTTAACCAGACAACTTTTTTACCATTTTGTATCGTCATGTGTTTATAGTGCAGAGAGAACTTTCAAAGGTTGCTGGAAGGACAAGTAGTCAACTGAATGTCTTAAAAAGGTTTAGACTCTTCGAAAACACAAACACAAAGACTTTAGTGCTAATCTGGGGGCAACACTTTGGACTGTTTCTATTTTTTTTTCTGTGAATTTCTGGGCCACACTGCGCCTGGCAGGGAACAGAAATAAATTAATTTCTCTCAGCTCAGTTTCCTATCCCACATTTTTTTCAGACATTAAGTAAATCTCAGAAGCCTTCCTCCACCATAGAGATGCAATGTTTTTGTGTTTAGGACCCACTTATGGGTATTTTCCCATAACTTGGGGCGTTTTAAGCACATGCAATTGTGAAAGACAGACAGCTTTGAGGAGTGAAAGATGGCACCAGAAGAGTGAGAAGATCAGAAATGTGAATGCTTGTTGCAGGAGACCTGAGCCGCATCATCCATTTCCCTGCTATCATCCAATCCATTACCATCTCCTGAACAGACCGTGGGCTCATCCAAATTGAAAGTGACATTGTGATGAGCTCCTCCATAGAGGGTATGATGTATGTGTGCATGTGCGTGTGAGATGGATTGAAGGGCACTTAGGAGGGCCCGCTGCTCTGCTCTTGTTGCTGCATCTCACACGCACACACACTCACCTGCTGTTGGGCAGAATTAAAGTCTGCTCATCGGCATATAAAAACGGTAATAGGAGCACGGGAGAGATGAAAGAGAATAAGGTATTTTTTTTGTTTTCCCAAGGTCACATCTGCCAGAGCAGGGACCAGCCAGCCATCAGTCTGAACAGACAGGGCCGCAGTGCCACCAGGTGCTGTGTGTGTGTGCACATGCAGAGTGTGTATTATCACCATGACCCTTTAGTTTAGTATTGGTTACTAGCAATTTTGGTCATTTAGGAATTTAGTCTTATTACTGCACTCAGTTTAAGTGACTCTAAATGTAATCACCAACTAAATCCCTTAAATGTGTGTGTGTGTGTGTGTGTGTGTGTGTGTGTGTGTGTGTGTGTGTGTGTGTGTGTGTGTGTGTGTGTGTCTGTGTGTGTGTGTGTGTGTGTGAGTGAGGTATTTCCTCGCTGACTGCTGCTGCTCAGGCTGTAGACAGATAAACAATCAATTATGTACAGCCTGTCACCGGGGATCTCTCTCGAGCCAGGCCGTTTCTCCTCCTGCTTGACTCCCTCCACCTTCTGCCAAAACAACACAGCGAGCTCTTACCTCAGGCTGCTTTCCTGAAAACACTGTGGCCTCGACTTTAACTTAAAAATTAGAGGCCTGAAATCAAGATGATGCGTATGTCAGGGAAGAACTTTCTTTGCTTCCTTTGTGACTCTGCATTGGTCTGCAAGGGTGACAGAGAGCTAATAGTAACACACGGATGTACATGAAATTCTGATTGTTTGGATATATGTTGTAGCCAGGATAAATGGTCTCAGATGTTTTATGCGATCTACACTGAATAACAATGAAGAAATTTTTTTTTTATTCCACACAATGTGTTTTGACACACTAAAAGTCAACATAACTGTTAAAAAACTCAATAAGGCACTTTTAAAATGCCAAATACATGCATTATTAGCTTCTACTATCAGCAGCAATTAGTCTTGACATGCAATTCCTTTATTCAAGCAGAATACTTGAATGTCAGAAAAAACTCTCTTTATCCAAATCCCCCCAGGTGGCAGACCCTTTGAGTTGTCAGGCTGAAAGTCATCTTTTCTGATCTCTGTTGTTGTCTAACCCCCTGCTCCACCTCTGGCCCCTGTCCATCCCTTTTTTCTGTCTCTGCCTAGCCCTCCCTCCGTTTCTCTGCCTTAGGGTCCCAGGTCTGGTTATCACAGGATTAGAACAAGGACACACACCCTGCATACACACATCGAGCACAAACGCACACATGCACACGTACACCTAGCACACATGCACACCTCAGGACAACCTTCTTTAATAACATTCAAAGGGAGAGCACAACCAATCCGCTACCTTTCATGGATTAGCTGCTAATCTCACAGAGCGCGGAGCACCTCGGGCACTTTGGGGAAAAGACGAAGAGTGGAGGGGAAGAAAGAGGAGGAATTTTGACCTTCAAGATCAAGGATATAATACTAGTCAAAGAAAAGGGCAAAAGAAAGTTGGTGGGTGTTTATTTTGCTAAATGCTCCACTGGATACGGAGCTTGGGCCGTGTCACGACATTTGGTTGTACATATTTCATTTAAACTAAAGTACATGAAGTCCGTGTGTTCCAGTCTGCCACCAGCTGGGATCTGAACCTGTGACCCCCCCTCGCTGCAGGTGGTCTTGATGTAAAATACGGATTTCTGTCACAGCTCGCTGACCTCCTGACAAAGTGAGGGGGGACATATAACCAGAGCTCCATGCGGTCCAGGCTTAAATCTGCGGATCAGTCCTTTAATCCACTATTCTGCCCATAAACTCTGAGCCATGAAATGAACTACAGTTAACTTAATCCTCTTTACTAGGCTGACTGGTTCACATATGACGCTGTAACACATGTAGAAATATGGCTATCAATACCGAGACTTTCTGCTGAGTTTGCGATTCGTTAATTGGTGAAAGCCATTGCGAATGATAAAGATGCTCGTATTTCATGCGCATGCATGATGTCAATAGGTGCTGAAGGGGGTGGTTTAATGTTTCCTTCCACAGCTGTAATATTTCTTCTGTGAGTAACAAGAGGAATCAGCATTCCCTTTGGACTCCTTTCAAGAGAAGCAGATGTTCAATTGCTATTAATAAGCAGAAGATTCCTGCAGCTACTAGCTTAACATCTTCCTGTTTTTATTGTCAATTACAGCCACCAGGACTAGAGAGGTGACACTAATGTCAGCATAATCAACACGTCGAAGGAAAAGCACCCTGGTGTGTTTTCCAGTATTCATTCATTTATTTTCATTTAAGGACTCCGAATGTTACTGTTTACACTTAATTTAGCTGTAATTCATCTTTCTAATATTGGCTAAGAGGTGAGATGTGCCTCTATCCACACAATCACTACGATCACTATAGTGGTGATTGTGTTCAGTATCAAGCTCGCTTGGATGGTGGATGTGTGGGAGCTGATAGTCCAATAACTCAGTGGGGAGATTACGACGGTAATTTGACTGAAGCTGGGAAAAAGTCATTACATCAAGCCTCTACATAAGCCTTGGTTTAATCACACAAATTGACTTTTATAGGGAGACGCATAGCTGTGTATTCCACTACAGTGACTTGAAGGCATTTTAATAGGAAACTACATAAAATATAGTGACACAATTTAATCCACTGGGTTTGGGGGTATTAATCTTCATTGTGAATCTGGGGAATGATCACACAATGGAAAAAATGATAAATGAATAAAACAATAAAACTTGCCCGCAGCTCAGAAGATTAGAGAAAACACGGTGAGAGAAATTATATAAGGTACAGTGGCTGATAATATGGAAAAGACTGAGTAAGCCAGTAGGTTTCTATCTATAAATAAATCAAAAGAGCACAAGAAAAGAGATTTGTTACTCCCTTAAAAATTATTCCTAACTTGTTTATACCTTTCAGAAGCCTGTTCATAAAAATACACAAATCCTTAACTTTGCTCTGTAATTTCCTGATTTCCATTGACAAGGGTAGAGAAAAACTCGACAGGGGACCCAGAGGGAGCAGGAAATGGGAGTTTTCACTGGGTGTTCGTGGTATAGCTGAGTCTAACGGCTTTAATTCAAACTCGAATGGCACGGCAGGAAGGCTGTGGGCCGAAATCCTCTGACGTATACCGCGGGCGGCAGCCAGCCCCTTCACTCTGTTGCCGCTGACTTAGTTTGCATTGGTGTAAATTGCTTTTTTAATTACAGACACTGAGGAAATGCAGCATGTTTCCTCCTCTTCAGAGATGATGCACACAGGGAGCTACTTAGCATCTTGTTTCACAAGTTGCAAACAACTGGTGAGGAAATGAGGCAGATCTGCCACTCATCACTGTGGAATGACACTGTGTTATTCTAGATGAAGGACATTACATTATGGAAGGATTACTGACTAAGATTTTTCTTATGTATTTTACTCTATGTGTGGCCCTTAATTTTGGCATTATAACAAAGCTTTTAAAGCAAACTTTAAATAGAATCTGTACTCTAGGTGATTTGAACAGTCTTCTGCGATTCTGTAGCATCCATTACTCCATCCATTACTGGCATTAAAATACATCACTCCTTTTGTCGAGAAAATTCTGACATTTGATTTTACACAGATGTTACTGCTTTATGTTAATTGTTATTTTAATAAGAGTGGAGCTAGATGACATGGCAAAAAGTATATAAATTAAAGTTATATCATCAGTCATATCAGCAGATATAAATATTTCCAATCAGGACAACGTAACATGGGTATTTTTTCTCATACTGATGAAGATTATTCTGATCTACTATAACATGAAGACTAACTATAGTGGAAGAAGCGATTATGAACAAGCAGCGCTACTACCACAATCACCCACAACACAGACAGAGAACAAAGACTGAATGATCCACACAATCTTTTTAGTCTGATTTGGTTTCCTTTTGAAATTGACTTTAGTTACAACTTTGATCTGGAACAAATGGGTCTACCGGCTTCACTGACAGTCTCACAGTCTGTTTCTCAGGTTCTCAGTGACTTTCTTTCTCCGTATCACACACGCACAGAGTATATTCACACACCAGACGAAGACTGTACACACACATGCAGATACAAACAAGACAGAAAGGCAACAGACACTCTGACATTTCCATTATATTTCAAAGGATAAAAGTCTTTATACCAACTATAGAAATCACTTTTAAAAAGCTCAGAGTTGCAAAGATGTTTAGAGAGTGTAGAGATTCATATAAACGCTTTCTTATAGAATACATTTGTGTAATTATGGAGTTTGACACATCTAAAGTTTTAACAAAGCAGAGAGCTAGATGCTCTTTGTAATTTGCACAAAGCAAAAGCAATCCAAAATTGATTTGACACTTTTTCTCAGTGTTCATTCTTTTCTCTACTGCTAGCTTCTGCTGATTCATAAAGTAATAACGCTGGTATTGATTTAGCTGTGTGTGTGTGTTCTTGTGTTATTTTAATGTGGCACTAGTAATTAGAGCAAAACCAATAAGAGCAAATCAAACTGAGACATTAATCCCTACGCATATTAAATGAACAGGACGTGCATACTTGCAGGGTGACAGATTTTGTGTCTAATCAGGCGCCGTCTGGACTATAACGAACAGAAAAAGTGAGAGAAGGTGTAGAACATGGCTAACGTTTACAGTTTTACAGGTGTTGTATGATAGCTGTCTCTCAATGTCAATGTATGATTTTCAATTACACTTATTTTGTCTCACACTGCACTCTGACACAGATAACTTACAAGGTTTATATCTGAATGTCTGGCTGTCTCTTCCTTTCCCCGTCTCTGGAAGTCTGTGCAGCTCTTGGCTGCAGAATTTATCATAATGAAATCAAATATCATCCTCTAGTATATGACTAAAGATGCAAATTAAATCATTTCTAACTGGCAATAACCTAACGTAAAATGTGTCTCTTGAAAAGCGTCTGTAGTAGAAACCCGCAGTGAAGACATATCCTCTTCTTGCATCTCTTTACATCTGCATTTCTTTACTCGTCTCCACACACCCAACAAAATATCATCCTTGTTTGCATTGCTTCAAGTCTGCAGGCAACCTCTACACAAAATGGTTGCTCTGGAAGCTGAAGCTCACAAAGCCAGAATAAAAACAGTGTCTTCTGCACTTGATTCCAGCCTGTCAAAAGGCCAGCAGCGGAACTCACCTGTGCAGGAATAGTCATCGATCCTGATGTAGCCCGTATGGCAGATGCACATGAAGGAGCCAGGGGTGTTAACGCACATGGTATTCTCCCTGCAGTAGTGCTTCCCTTCAGCACACTCATCAATATCTGAGAGAAGGGAGAGAGAAGGGGAGAGAGGGAGAACAAAGCTGTGTTAGATGTGGACTGCTATCACATGCAACTGAATCTGTAAATGTAAATTTTCTTTGCATTAAAAAGGTAGTAATGTATGTGTTTCATTATGTCATAGGTATTAATATAGCTTCACATAAAAATCTATAAAATATTAGATATATAATTATTTTTTTATTATTTTATATAATATAAAAATAAATAGATTATAGACACCCTCTGCAGATCAAACAATATTTTTAATCTGTATTCTGCATTGATACCTCAAACCTCAGACCACAAGTTCAAGCCTCATGGTTGATTTTGATTAAGTCTTTGTTTTTCAGACCTCTTTAGCTAAGTGACGTTCAACAGCTTCATCAGCTTTACCTTTAGAAACAAATTGTAAATGGCCTCATTATAAATTTATGAAGGAATGTTTTCAAAACCATGTAGCAAAATCTGTGAAAAGTACATCCCATGATGCAAATGATGTGATGAGGATGATGATTGTATAATGATTCCTATACTGTTGTTCAATCATTTTTACTTTATCCAACGGGACATGGATGTTTTAAAGGATTTGACAGGCAAAGAAGAAGAAAAGAAAGGAGAGACTGAAGTTAATTGTATGTGCAGAAAAGAGCTATAATATTCTGATGCGTAGCTACAAACAAACATCTTATTTATCATATTTGTTGATGCACATATTTGTCAGCTCAGCCTCTGATTATACAAATAGATTAGCTGTCTTGTTGTCTTGTTGTCTTGTATTACACAGTTGGTGTTGATGTTTAGGAGCTTCTTGAATTCATCAAAGATGTTGAAGCGGGCCATAATTGACTTTGGCTTTCAATCATTTCTAATTAGGGATAAGACAACATGAACACGTAGTCACTGCTGATTTCTCAGAAAAAAATCCAGCTTTGTCTGACTGATTTTCACAAGTCCTCAAAAATGTCCATGTCCTCCAGAACAACACACCTTTTCTGATATGACGCCACTATCAGCAGGACAACATCATTTGTCTGCGCCTTCCAAAACAATTACAAATCACTGTTGATATATAACTGTTTATGATCTGACGATGATGATTTGGTAAAGTTTAAGCACAAATACCCTTGGTTAAGTTTAGGTCATGGTTTGGTTTAGAATAGATGCTTACGGGAGCTCTGTCATCATCTTCATAATAATAAACACGCGGTTAAGGTAAGGGAACAATCGTGGTCATGCTTTAAAGAAATGCTGATTGTTGGTTGTAAACAGGAAATGAACAACATTCTCCCACGCTAAAGTCAGATGTTTAGCAACCTAAACCCAGAGGCGGCTTGTTCACTAGGGCGACGTACCGCCAAACCGGGAAAGGCAGAGGATTTTTCTCACACTTTCTACCACACTGTTAGTTAGCTGTGACTGTTTTTGTCAGGCAGTTTGTCTCTGAATATCGCTGTCCAATCAGCGTCAAGTCGTGTTCCGTGGAGTCCCGCCTCTTTTGGTGCGATTTCAATCTGGTTTTAATTCGCCCAGATCTCTCTCAGACTTTCATGTAAAGGCAGTTTTGTTTTGAGCTGCGGCCTCTGCAATGCAATCTCTATGGGTTACGGGAGGGCTCGCACTAATGTGTTTACGTCATACACCCAGCAGCAAAGCTACGCTTCTGCCACCTGAAAACGACTCTGTGGTCCTCCAGCTTGTTGCTCTCACTACCATCAGCTGCTGTACAAAACGTACGTTCAGGCTGATAATTCAACTGTGGTGTTCTGTCGGGAGATGCAGTAACTTAACCAGTGGTGAGTAAGACAAAGTATAGCCTAATACATTTAATTTGTTAAGCTATGAGGAGTCCGCTAGCCACTAGGCTAATTTATGCTCCGTAAAATACCATAGGCTAAGCTAAAAATTGTGACTGTAAAAAAAATCTTGATAATTATTATTAAGCTGAATTTTATGCTTATGTTAAATGTGATTGTTATTAAGCCATGTTTTATGTATTAAAGTTAACTTTTTATGCTCTTAACCAGTAACAATTATTTTATGTGTTGTTTTTTTCTTTTATTGCAAGACCCACAGAAGAAAGAGGAGGTAGCATGATGATCTATGTCAGAGAAGGTTAAAAGGAAGAAGAAGTAGGAAAGCAACACAGAAAATTTATTTAAAAACAATAGAATATACCTTTTATATTTCCCCTTACATGCCTTGTTTATGTGTAAATACAGAGTGAGAATGGGAGAACAGCACGTTGATACTGTGTGATTATAGGAGAACAGTGGATACTTTTATTACAGCCCACACCCCTAATAATACTGTGTAACTACATTTGTTGTTCCTAAATAAAAAGGTTTGTCACAGCTAAATCAGATGATTCTGAGAGTCATTCTTTTTTTTCCATTATTGCTAAAGTAGTTGCCTTTACATCTTAAGGTCTAAAGATCTGATGATCTTAACTGTGGACTGTTCATTCATTGCAGACATTGGCAATGAACTTCAGGATGTAGCTGTTCACAAATACTGTACAGTATGTAGTCTAAGGAACAATCCTTGTCTTATAGCAGACTTAGACCATTAAACTTGTCATCTTAGCCATCATCGCAACAATTGCCCCCTCCCCTGAGAGATTTGGCACGAGCCGCCACTGCCTAAACCTACTTCCTCCTTTGCTCAAGACATAATTACCAAAGCTGGTAGAGGGCTTTGTCAACCTAAACATATATAATTTTGGGGCATTTACTGAAACAGCAAAGGTCATTCTTCTTGGGAAGACAACCGAGTAGTATCTTTACAGCACTGTTACAGTGGCCTATTTTGGGTGTCTCCCCCATCCTGGGAGCCACCTTGTGCAATTTGTCCAAGTTGGTTTTCGCTACAGAAGGTTCCTAAAGGCTTCTATGCAGCCAGCGGGAAAGAGCTATTTGTCTTCATCAGAGGGAGACAGAGGTCGAAATGCAGAGGGTCCTTGAGAGGTGGACGCTGAAGCACTTAAGGTTGCACCACTCGATTTTCAATCTATTCAAAGTAAAGCACCCCACACAGTGGCTTGGCTGTTTTTCTCCAGACCACTACTGGTCATTCAGTGGCATGCTTGAGCATGCTTTACATTCTATGATACTGCAGAGTGAGAATTATGCCACTAGAGAAGTTAATTGAAAAGGCTCTGCACATGTGCAAGTGTTTTCAGTTATTCTGGCTGATTATACCTCTGCTCCGCTGGACAGAAGTATATGCTGGGACTTAGATGAGGTCACCAAACTGAAATATGAACTGTGTGTATTGAATTTCTGCTGTGCCCATTTTCAATATTTTCCATATTATCACACCATCGTAAGCCCATACAGGTAGTTTCACTTATTTTGCCTACTTAGACTTCTTCTCAGGTCTATGTGGGCGAGCAGTCTAGGGATCGGGATCCGGTTCCAAAAGGAGGTTTGAGCTTATTGATACTGCTATCGAGACTTGCGTGTCCTATGATGTAACGTTATGTCTCGAGCGTCAATTCAGTTTTATTTTGCAACGCAACGGATAAGAAAATCATCAGGCTGCAGTCTCTGCCTGCTCTCTGTCGGCTCCCACACACACACACACACACACACACACACACACACACACACACACACACACACACACACACACACACACACACACACACACACACACACACACACACACACACACACACACACGCAGCAGAGCGAGAGGCTGTGCCGTCGTGGTGGAATACGATTAAGTTAGCTCCAAACTACTGTAACGTTAGTTGATGACCGCTACGCTCGTTACTGTAAGTAACTGATCTTATTTGACTTTATTTTATCCCTTTTATTTTATTTTACAAATTTTATATTTATCTTTAAAAAAATCTATACTTTTTGGGTATTATTGTCTTTACACTTGTTAAAGCACTTTGTAACTTGTTTTTGAAAAGTGCTCTACAAATAAAGATTATTATTATTATTATTATTATTATGTGCAATACGCAGTACATTCGCAAGTAAAAAGACAATACTTTATCAATACACCTGTCTGTAAGGTAACATTAAACAACTAGAAATGGTTAATTTAATCATCTCTGTCTTCAATATCTCATCCTGTATCTTTTATACAAGCACAGCTAATGCTAGCTTGGCATTAGCCAAATGTTAAAGACAAGCTAAATAGAAAGCTGTCTGTCTGGAGAACAGACTGGTCTGTAGTCTTAACAACTCAGCTGCTGGCTGAGGCAAACCAGCCGCTCCTCCTTCTACCTGCTCTTACCAAATAACTATCACTAAATAATAGTAAAGTATCGATAATGGTACTGATAAAGAATCGGATCGTTAAGCAGTCTCAATAAGGGTATCAATATCAATCAAATCTCCATCCCTACCCAGCACAGACCATACATCATACATACTTTAATGCTGCACCTTTTAAAGTGGGACAATATGCATCTTTATGTCCTTGGTGGCCAAGTGGTTAAGAGCACAGTTAAAGGGCTAGATACCCATGGTATACCTGCTTATGTGTTTTCACTTATTATGCTTGATTAGATCTCTTTGTCAGGACTGTATGGATATACAGATTGACATCCCCCTGTGTTACCCCTGATCGCAGACGTAATTGCTGACGTAATCTGTACTCGGTGCATGCGTTGGCATCTGTAGCCACCTGTCGGAAGCTCCGTCTTAAACCGGACTCTTATCCAGTTTTATTCCACACTTTTTCGTTACATTTTTATATCCTTTTTATTTAACTTAAGATTTTAACTTACGTTTTACGTGGGTTAAGGATTTTAGTCATCAGACATGGATTTTAAGCTAGATAATCGTAAAAACGCCATCAACGCTACTGACCACAACAAAGCTCCGGTGACTATGCTAGCCGAGATAACTCTGCCCCATGAGGACTGCATACTCCTTAAGAAAGCGAACAAAAAGATTGCTGACCTTATGGAAAAAATCCGACGACTTTCAGGGGAACTCAAAGAGAAAGATTCCCTGCTGACTGGCTTCATGGATGTCGCTTCA